TCTGAAATCAATAAAAATATTTTTTAAATAAATAAACTTAAAGTACCATCAAGTACCTGTCATAAATATGACAAAAGATTTACCTTTAATATATTGAAAGTCTACAGAATCCATAAGAAAAATACTCAAAGTGTCAGATAGGAAAAAAAAAAAAAAGGCAGATGAGATGTAAAGTAAAATCACAGAAGAGGAAATGCAAATGGCTACTAAGTATATGAAAAAGTTGTATATTAACATAATCAATTAGTCTGTGTCCAATCAGCAGACAGAAACTACACAGTCATTTAAACAAGGGTGTTTAGTATAAAGAATTATTAAGCTGTGATAGGAGAATAACTAAAAGATGGAAAGAGGATGCTAAAGGGTTGCCTATGGCTGAGGAAGAGTGCTCCAAAAAGGAAAAGCTTGGAACGAGGGATTCAGAATTCACTGGAGAAGGTGTGGTTGCAGCCCACTGGATGGAGGAGAAGTTGGCTGGGTGCCCACACCAAGCAGGTCAACAGCCACAGGGCAAGCAGGAAAACAACCTCTGGGAGGTGGACCAGCTGGGACAGGTGGGCAGGTGGGCAGGTGTGCAGAGAGACCTGGGACTTCGCTGCAGGTGCAAGGCTCAGATCACATAGGGTCTGTGTCTGGAGGTCCCCAGGAAATGGTTGCAGTGGTTCTCAACCTTCCTAATGCCCCGACCTTTAAATACAGTTCCCCATGTTGTGGTGACCCCCAATTTTATTGTTACAAATTGAACATAATTAAAGCATAGTGACTAATCACAAAAACAATATGTAATTATATATGTGTTTTCCGATGGTCTTAGGCGACCCCTGTGAAAGGGTCGTTCGACCCCCAAAGGGTCACGACCCACAGGTTGAGAACCGCTGGTTTAGAGGAACAGGTAAGCCGAGGCTGCAGGGTTGGCACAGAGAGTCAGGGACGCTGCTAGGACCGGGAGCTGGAAGGGCCTCCTTTGAAGAAACCTAGGACAACTCTGTGTATGGTTGGTTCTGTGGCACCTTTAAGGCTGCATGGGACAAAGGCCAGGCAAGTGGCTCACCAGATGGCCAGCCCACAGGGCCCTCTCAGGGAACCTGCACCATGTTGAGGAGAAGGTGCAGAGAGCAATGATGTGAGTAGGGCACAGGCCTGCCCTGGGGCTCCAGATTATGCCACCACAAATCAAAAACTGGGAAAGTAGTGGGGGAAATAAAGGCTAGAGAAAGCTGCAAGCCACCGGCAACCAGCACTGGGCAGAGCAGTGGAGAAAAAGTCGGCCACCCAGCCAGCCACTAGGAATCAGGAAAGATAGACTTCCTCCTACGGTGCTTCTCCAATGCCCTCTGCTGGCAAAGCATGGCATCCAGCTGCGAAGAAAACATATTTAAAGGGTCCATATCCATTTCACAAAGCTGACAGCAAAGAATGAATTTGGAACACAGAGGCAAAAAATAACTGGCATGTCAACAAAACACAAATTAAAGAAAAGTAGAATATACTTTTTGGCCTATTAAATTAGTAAAGATTAAGAAGGGACAATATTAAATACTCAACAAATTACAATGAGATGGACTCTCAAACTACTGTAGCAATACAAATGTATATAACTAGAACAATTAAGCTATAATTTCATATTATAATTCTATTTTTAGAATCTTATATTGAAATAATCAGTCATACAAAGACATTATGCAAATATACTTACTATATTCCTATTTATTGTTGTAAAAAATAAAATAGCTTAAATGTCAAATATAGAAGAAAGATGAAAGAAGGAAAGAAATACTTATCTATAGAATGTTATGCAGCTATTAGAATTGTTCCCAAATGAATTTTAATTATAGGAGTAAATTCTCCTTATGTACCTAAATAAGACTATACACACAAATATTCTAAAACATTTCCTATCCATAAAATATGTGTTTATATGTGTGTGAAAACACTGGCATTTGTATATATAACTCACAAACTGAAGACATGTTCAATGTGGTTATGTCTGGATTATAGAATTATCGATGATTCACTTTTTAAAAATTTTCTCTGCTTATTAAATATTTTATAATGAACACGTGTTACTTTTTAAATCAGGAAATGCAAAAGCTGTGATTAAAAAGTTACCAACAAAAAATAGCAAGTACATGCGAACAGAGTTCTACTACATGCAAAAAAGTTCAACTAAATTATTTAAGTGAGGCATTAACATCACTTCTGTGGTAGTTGGAAAATATATCCATAGTGTCTTTGTACTCCCTCTTTAAGGAGTATAGCCTAATCTTCCTCACCTTACAAAAGGATTGGACTTAGTGACTCCAGTTCCAATGAACAGAGGAAAGCGGACGTGACAGCATGTAACTTTGGAGACTAGGTCATCATGTCATTGTGGCAACGTCCTTGCTCACTCTCATGGACCACTGGCTCTGGGTGAAGCCAACTGCCATGTTCAGACAGCCCTGGGGAAAGGCTTACATGAGGAGAACAGAGACCTTTTGCCAAAAGCCAACAATGAATTGAGGCCTTTCATCCATAGCCATATGCGTGGGCCATGAGATAGCCTTAGTCAAGCCTTCAGATGATTACATCCCTGTCTAATAGCTATAACCTCCTGAGAGACCCTGGCCCAGAACACTCCGCTAAACCTGCCCTGGATTCCTGATCCTCAGAAACTGTGTGAAATAAGAAATATGTGTTGTAGTATGCTGCTAAATTTTATACTAATTTGTTATATCACAATAGATAACTAATACAATTTCTAAGGCCAAAAATCTGTTCACTTTAGAGTCATCTTTGCAAAATAAAAGAATATAAATTTTTGTCACAAAACCATTTATCCTTGTCTTAATGGTCTTATTTCACCACCAGTTATACAGTAGTTCAGATTTAATTCCAGATGTTATATTTATTAATGATAGAGTACCTGTCTTTGGATACTTTGCTGCACTTAATGATATGTCTTGTGTATAGAATGTGCTCAATAAAAATCAACTGAATAAGGGCCTGAGTGAATTAGTGAAGAGGTAAATAAATTATTTGAAATATTTTTATAAAATCCCCTGTATGTACGCCTCCTTTTTCACAAATATGATCCAGCTGCTGAAGAAGTACAGAGCCTTTTCTATATGATTTCCCCTGATATGATGGTATAGTTTATTATCTCTTGGCTGTGTGAAATATTCAGATATTTCAGTGTTACTATTCTGTGTTACTATGGCATCTTGTTTAGGGCTAATCAGATTGATTTCAGAAACTGAAGGGGCCAAAATCCATTCGCAAGGCAGTTGATGAGGTGGAAAAGCTGGCAGGTGTACTATTATGTTGGTATATCTACACATGAAAGAAAAAAAGGAATAGGAGGACAAAAGCCATTAAATGGAATGCATTTGTCTTCTAAATTAATAATAACAGCTAGAACCTATTAGATTGAGCCATTTTGTCAATATTTGACCTATAAAAGCAGCAATTCATATTGTTCAAACTAATAGCACTTACCATTTCAGAAGCACTATTTTAAAGCATATATATATATATATATATATATATATATATATATACTCATTTAATGTTCATTAAGTCTCATGAGGAAGTTACTCCTTCAACCCAATTTTATAGATGAAGAATAGAAGCCACGAAGAGGCTAGGAAGCTAGGTAGACATCAAATCTATGGCTTCAGAATCCACACTTTTAAACCACCTCAGGCTGTGGCTTCACCCTAAATCACACTCCCTCAATCTGGCATCCTTTATGTATCCTCATTTGTAAAATGGGAATGATAGTTTCTACTTCATGAGATGGTTGTAGAAGTTATAGGAATAATACATGTAATAATATGATCAAAATACATGGGTGGTTGGCACTTTGCTCAGAAGTGTGTGATATCAGCTGTTATAATTAAACTATGATATGTCCCCTCCCATCATTGTAGCCCTATCTTCCACTAAATCTTATGCCCACTACTTCATTCTTGTCTTAAAGCTAGTCAAATCATTGCTTGAAACACCTCACACACTACCATCTCTCTCTCTCTCTGTTGAAACTCTGTCCATTTTCTAGTCCTTGACCATGACCTTTCCTGGTCTCCGTGACAATGTGTGCATCAATACTCCTGTGCATCATATCATCAATTAGCTGTGCTCTGACTTCTGATACCAGAAATTCGAAACGTGCCCTTTATTGTAATTCCATATGTGTTTATATCTTGTATGAATTCATTAGTGATCTGGCTTTATCATATTCATGTTATTCTCTGCAGCACCTAGCACAGCATATTGGACATCAGAGTTACTTAACAAATGTTTATTGGGTTTAACTTGCTAGTGTATATAAGTATGCTGAAATCACTAGAGTGAGAAAACTATTTAGAATCAAGTAAAGAGCACTATAGTAAAAACTACATTTTTTCTCTAGTAGAAATAATTCACTTATTTAGTAAGCACTAAAACATTTCAACTTACTTTTTTTCTTACAAAAAGAGATCTGGAAAAGTTAAAAAGGCCATGATAAGTTCTTTATGTCATTTATGCCAGGATTTCTGGGGAAAAGACTATTATAAATTGTCATTGAAAGCTCAATTTAATTTAAATATAGTAGGACCCATCCAGCATCATGTATATAGTGTAAAGATGGAAGACAAAATAATTATGAAAGTAACTTTATTACAAAGCACACTTCATTCAGTTCTTTGATGATCACTTTTAGAAGTGGTATAGACAGAAGCTCCAGTTGCATTTGGGATATTTTTTTACTCTAAAAACCCAGCAGCCAGTTTCCAGTGGATGCGGCAGCCCGTTCCATCTTCCTGAGGCTCTTCAAAGATGCCTTGACTTCCTATTTCTGTTGCTGATTCTAAGAAGCAGGAAAATTATGGGGGGATGGAGAATGAAAGTGGGTTGTACAATAAGCAGATTTTTCTGCTGAGTAGGAAAGGAGAATTCAGTGTAGACTGGCTAGAGTTCTTGGGCAATGTTGTGAGTAGCTGAAAAATAATTGCTGGTTTGAATATTAGACATGGGTTTCATTATTCGTGAAGAGCAAAATGCAGATCTCAGCAATCATCCTACACTGATATTTCTGGAATCATTTAGCCTCCCAAGAGAGACTGGCACTTTTCTATCAGTTTGGACTCCTAAGGAAAAAAGGAAATAAGCACATCTGTGAGAGAGGGAAAAACAAACAAAAACATTTAAATAGCTCTGACCCCCATACAGAACATCTTTAAGGCTTCCCTATTTCATTCCTGAGATGGGCTCTGAGTGCCTGCTTCTCACTGTCTTAGAATTTCCCACAGGCCCAGTCCCTTAGCTTAAGGATTTAATTAACTGCAATGTTTCTCCCATTTTCAGGACCCCAGACCTATAATAAATAAAAATTTGCTGCCTCCTCACAAAAATAATATGGGATGCTTTTGCTGCAAGGCAAAAATGGACAATCAACATCAGCTTCTCACTGAATTTTAAAACTGCTCTAGGCTAATTTTGAGCTAAATCATCACATAGAACTCCACTGCTAAGATACACACACACACACACACACACACACACACACACACACACACACACACACAATAAATGGCTTACACTCCTAAGAGCCCCTAGGATCCTGTGGAAAATATTAGAAGTCTATTAATTTAGTCCTCCTTCCAGCCCTCAAACAGCACCACACCTGAATTATCTAGAGAGATTGGAATCTATTTATGCTTGTTTTTAAAAATACCTCTGGAGTTTAAGTATGGTCATTTCTTTGGTAAGCCATGACTTTTATATCAATCTTCATAAGAACTTTGCTATAAGCAACCTCAAGATTCTCATATTTAATCTTATTCATTTTCTCTGAATCTAACAATATTGGGGAAACTCATATTTCTACATATCAGTCTTTCCTGACCTTACTTATTCCATAGTTTCTTATTTGTTATGATAACAAATGCTGGGGAAGAAGGGAAGAATTTTTTGGTAAAGATAAAGAAGAAGGGAGGTGCTGGAAAAGATTACTATAATAATGAAGAATGCCCAGAATGAGATAAGAAGTGATGATAATTCCACATTTTGAGATAAGGCACAAGCAAGATTTTAAAATACAAAATTTGGACTTCTCTGATGGAATCTAGATAACAGAGAAAAGAAAGAGGAAACATCTTACCCTGAGACCAAATCAGCCATTCTTTGATTTCCCATAATGCTGGACACATTGGGAGACAGCTAGCTTGTCACCCTTCCTAAGACTTTGGGATAGACATTACCAGTTTATTTCTCCATATCCTTTGGGACATAATTTTAAATCCTTTTTCCAATCTGGAAACTCTTTGGACATAATTTGCCAATATACTTTTAAAATGTGTTGCCTCTCATCTTTTCCAAAATTACAATTCAATAACAGTAAAAATGTACAAAAATTTTTAAAGAATAAAGCCCTATCAATCCCACATCAATGTAAGAGACATTGATGAAGTTCTGGGAAACCAAAGGAAAGCCTTTGGTATGATATTAACTGATATACCAAAGTGTAGAAATAGGAGCTCAGAATAGGAGCTCAGAATAGTGAGGAGGTGTACCAGCACTAGAAGACCAGAAAGCCACTGATTCTGAGCTCCTTTGGCTCTTGTCTGCTGCCTCACCTATTTTTTAAACTTCCTAAAGATTCCTGAAGCCACCACTATCATTTCAATAAATTAATTTTTACTTAGGTTACCTACAATTTGATCCTATTATTTACAACCAAAGAATCCCAACTGACATAGCATCAAAAATACTGTGCAAATATATGATAAAATAATATTTAAAAATATGAGGACCCAGAAACCTGATCTTCCTTGTGACCATTTCAAAAAATGCATACAGCCTAGCCGGTGTGGCTCAATGGTTGAGCATTGACCTATGAACTCAGAGGTCACAGTTTGATTCCTGGTCAGGGCACTTGCCAGGGTTGTGGGTTGGTCCCCAGTGGAGGGCGTGCAGGATACAGCCTATCAATGATTCTCTTTCATAATTGATGTTTCTATCTCTCTCCCTCTCCCTGGTCCTCAGAAATCAATAAAAAAAAAATTTTTTTAAGAAAAAATAATACTTACAAAAGTAAACTTGACCAAACTTTAGAGATGATGCATAGTTACCTATAATAAACATTTTAGAAGTAATTCTAACAAATTTTAATTAACATAATATTTTTTTTAGATAATTTCTATTATCTCCTTTCGTTTGGGAAGAAACACTAAAAGAAAATAGAAGAGGAAGGGGAGGGAAACAAAAAATATTTGGGTTCTTCAACTATTTGGTTGAAAATTACTATTAGGCAAAAAAGTGTGGGGAAAAGCAGACAAAAATCTTGCTGTCATGCTAATGATGAAATAGATGGAGCAAGCACAATTCATACTCAAGAGCAAGAAAACTTTCTTGGGAATGCCCAGGCACATGCCCTTCTGCAAAAGTGTTTATTTGTTGTTACTCAGGTAGAGACATGTTTTCTGAATACTTCACAAAAAAATAAAGAGGCTTTAAAATAACTAAATAAGTTCTAGTATAGGTGATTATTTTCATTTTGTGTATTGGCTAGTCTGGGGGTCAGCAAATTTTTTTCTGTAAACAACCAGATAGTAAATATGGAGGATTTTGCAGTTACTATACAGTTTCTGATACAACTTAATTCTGCAACTACTCAATTCTATTATTGTAGACAGAAAGCAGTGGTAGACATTATGTAAATAAATGGGCATGCCATGTCCCAATACAACTGTATTTACATAAACAGGAAGTGGAACCAATTTAGCCTGAGAGCTGTAATTTGCCTACTCTTTACTTGACTTTAGATATATGACTTTTAATATAACACACATAATACAGCTGAATAGGTAGAAAAGGGCTACTGAAGGTAAGTAGGCATTCATGAAAATTGCTACCTATAAAAACATTTTCATGGGCCATTGCTAAACTTAGCCCCAGTCCTAACCAGCCTCAGCTGGTTTTACAGTTTTGACTGTAAAGGCTGCTTTATTATGATTTTTTAGCTTTATCCTTGCATTTTTCTGCATAGATACTATTAGCTACTGTATCCGAGTTTCTGCTCCTCAAGTCATGTCCCTGGAAGAGCAGTCCATCCTGACTCCTCTCTATTAATTTACGTGAATATGTGCCACCATGAAATTTAAGTCCCATAACTTTATCATCTTACGAAAAGTCATTTGCTTGTTAACTATATGCAATTACATTAATTACTGAAAACAGTCTCCTGGTAGGCAGTTCGGTGTGTGTGCACAGAGAGATACTCTGATTTGGCATTTGTTCTTTCCTCTTTCTTTTCTCCAATTCCCTAATCTAGTGATCTGCCTACTGAGAAAATAAAATCTTTACATTTCCTAGTTTAACCCCAAATTACATTTGGTGACTCTTGCTGATTGTGGCCTTGAAAATTTCTAGAACAAAACTACAGTTTGCTCAGACAGATTTTTAAACTATTATTTCTTTAAAATTTCTCTATATTTCCAAGGACACCATTTCTCTACAATTACCAAAGTCTTCAATTCACCTTCTTCTGTTCACTCCCAATCCTAAACAACCCAGTGCATCTGGTGGCATGACCCCTGTATTCATCTCTAATCATGTCTAACACTCCTAGTTTCCTCAAATAAATATAAATATTAGCATATCCTAAGATATCCTAAACCCAATTACACCAGTCAATCTAGATCAGCCATTTTCAACCTGTGTACCGCAGAATTTTTAAAACATGCAATACCTTACTAGTCAGGGACACTGACCTCTTTTCCCTTTCAGTGGTTCTCAACCTTCTGGCCCTTTAAATACAGTTCCTCATGTTGTGACCCAAACATAAAATTATTTTTGTTGCTACTTCATAACTGTAATGTTGCTACTGTTATGAATCATAATGTAAATATCTGATATGCAGGATGGTCTTAGGCGACCCCTGTGAAAGGGTCATTCGACTGCCAAAGGAGTCGCGACCCACAGGTTGAGAACTGCTGATTATCAAATTAAAAAATGATAATAGCCAAAACAACAATGGCTGTTGATGTGAATACCCTGTCTCTTTTTTTAAAATATATTTTTATTGATTTCAGAGAGGAAGGGAGAGGTAGAAAGAGAGAAACATAAATGATGAGAGAGAGTCATTGCATGCCCCCTACTGGGGACTAAGCCCACAACCCAGGCATTAAACAGTGACCTCCGGCCTCAAAGGTCAATGCTCAATCACTGAGCCACTCTGATCAGGCATGAATGCCCTGTCTTGAACCATAAATAGGTAGGTCATACAATAGAGCTGCATCTTATTGGTCATGTTGCATAATAAGGTTGTGTCTGAGTGGTTATTTCTTTGGACCAGAAATTCTTATATACAAGTATAGGCAACTGCTTTTTTAAAAAAGTCACGTTAGAGCAAAAAGGATTAGTAATTACTATTATTTTCTTGCAAATCAATCAAAATTATACCTGTTTTTGGTCACATAGGCAAAAAGTATATTTTTTGATATGCTGCTGAATTTTAGTAATACTTTATATGTGCCATGAGATGAAAAAGGTTGAAAATTGCTGATCTAGACTGTGATTTTTTTCCTAATCCATTACAGATTGGAATGGAAAAAAGAGGGTTTTTTTTTTAAAAAAAAACACAAAAAAAAAAAAACACAACTTTGCTAAGTCCTAAGAGTGCTAAGAGAATAGACAAGGAAACAGAAATACCTCTTCTTGGAAACATGTTTCACGTTTTTCTGCTTGGCAGCACATCTTTACCAGCTGAGTAAAATCCACAATAATTGGTTTGAACTGCATCTCTGTTGCATATGGTCTCTGTTTCACAAGGTTGCTGAGGAGCCTGAATCAGAAATGAGTTGCAAAAATAAAAGCACCTCTGATTTCTACAAGAAGAAACTCAAAATAGAGTAAAGGTTTAAATGTAAGACTCGAAACCATAAAAGTCTTAGGAAAAAAAACATAGGCAGTAAAATCTCTGACGTCTCTCTTAGCAATATTATTTCTGACATCTCCTCAGGCAAGAGGAAATAAACAAAATAAATAAATAAATAAATAAATAAATAAATAAATAATAAATGGGACGATAATGAGCTGAAAAGTTTTGCACAACAAAGGAAAGCATAAAATAAAGAAAAGATAATCTACTAATTGGAAGAAAACATTTTCCAATGATACATCCAATAAGGATGTTAATAATCCAAAATTTAGAAAACTCAGACAACTCAACACCAAAATAACAAACAATACAATTAAAAAGTGGACTTGACATTTTCCTAAAAAGGACATACAGACGACCAATAGATATATGAAAAGATGCTCAACATCACTAATCATCAGAGACATGCAAATTAAAATCGCAATGGGATATCACCTCACACTGGTCAGAATGACTATCATCAGTAAATCAACAAACAAGTATTGGTGAGGATGTAGAGTAAAGGGGACCCTGATACTCTGTTGGTGGGAATTAAAATTGGTGCAGCCACTATGGAAAATAGTATGGAGTTTCCTCAAAAAAATTAAAAATGGAACTGCCTTATGACCCAGCAATTCCATTTCTGGGTATATTTCCAAAGAAATCCAAACCACTAATTTGAAAAAATATATGTATCTCTATGTTCATTACAGGATTATTTACAACAGTCGAGCTAGGACGCAACCCACATGCCCATCAGTAGACTCCATATAAAACAGTGATACATATATATAAGGGAATATTACTCAGTCATAAAAAAGAATGAAATCTTACCACTTATGACAGCATGAATTGGCCTAGAGGGTATTATGTTAAGAGAAATAAGACAGAGAAAGGAAAATACCATATGATTGTATTTCTATGTGGAATCTAAAGAACAAAACAAACAAATAATATTGAAACACTCATAGACACAGAGAACAGATTTGTGGTTGCCAGAGGAGAGGGTTTTGGGAGACTAAGTGAAAGAGGTGAAGGGATTAAGAAGTACAAATTGTTAGCTTCAAACTAACCATGGGGATGTAAAGTACAGCATAGGGAATATAGTCATAATATTATAATAACTATGTATGGTGCCAGGTGGGTACTGGAAATATTGGGGGGAACACTTTGTAAATTAAATAATTATCTAACCACTATACCATACATCTGAAAGAAAAAAATGATACATGCTTTTAAAATAAAGAATTAGCTTAAGTATCCTATCTAATAATAGACAAACATGGTAATTAACTGTACCTCCGATATGCTTACCATTGGCTAATCAGGGCAATATGCAAATTAACTGCCAACCAAGATGGCGGCCGGCAGCCAGGCAGCTGAAGCGAACAGGAGGCTTGCTTGCTCCAGTGAAGGAGAAAGCCAAGGTTCCTCGCCTGCTGCTGCTGGGCTCTGAGCTTGCACTCTAAGAAACAATGTTGCAATTATATAAGCTAAACAAACCCCATGCTTTCAGCCAGCCAGGCCTCAGAGCTGGAGTTGCAACAGTGTTTCAATTATAGAAGCCAAACAAATCCAGATACCTGCTTTCAGCAGCCGAGGTCTCAGAGCTAGAGCCGAGCCTCAGAGCTAAAGCCAGCTCTCAGTTCCAGTGACAGCCATAGAAGGTAAATAAATCCCAGAATAAAAAAAAAAAAAAAGCAAACAAAGAAAGGTTGGGAGCTTCAGTCACCCGCCAGCCTGAAAATGGCCCTCAGCCCCTCACCCAGACTGGCCAGGCACCCAGTGAGGACCCCCACCCTGAAGGGGGTGTGACCAGCTGCAAACAGCCATCATCCCCTCATCCAGGCTGGCCAGGCACCCAAGCAGGACCTCCACCCTGATCCAGGACACCCTTCAGGGCAAACGAGCCAGCCCCCACCCATGTACCAGTAAAAGGGTAATATGCCTCCCAGCACTGGGATCAGCGGAGCTGCAAGGCCTCCCAGCACTGGGATCAGCGGAGGCATGAGGCCTCCGGGAGGTGCAGTCAATTTGCATGTTTCTCCTTTATTAGATTAGATATTTTATTTTTAATTTTCAATGCCATGAACTTGTTTTCAGTTTTTTTTTTCCCCCTAGGGTATTAATCTTTTATTTTCATCAAATTTATGCACCATTGTATATACCGTCTTAAATCTTCCAGGGGCCAGGAGGCCTCGCAGCTCCGCTTGACACTGGGGCAGTGAGGCCTAGCTGCTCAGCTGATCACAGTGCTAGGAGGCTCGCTGCTCCACTGTGCCTGATAGGGGAGAGCTCCCCAACCCCCTGATAGGCCCTGCTCTGTGTGTGACAGGGTGAGGCGCCCAACCCCCCCATGGACCCTGCTCTGTGTGTGACGGGGTGGAGCCACAAACTCCCCATTGACCCTGCCCTGAGTGTGACAGGAGGGAGTGTCCCAACCCCTTGATCGGCCCTGCTCTGTGAGTGACAGGGGGCGGTGCCCCAACCCCCTGATTGGCCCTGCTCTGTGCGTGACAGGCTGTGGTGCCACAACCTCCCCATCGACCCTGCCTTGAGTGTGACAGGGGGAGGTGCCCCAACCCCCCAATCGGCCCTGAGTGTGACTGGGGGTGGCATCTCAACCTCCCGATCCGCCCTGCTCTGTGCATGACAGGAGGCGGCACCCCAACTCCCCAATTGGCCCTTCTCTGAGCCTGACCAGGGCTGCACCTAGGGATTGGGCCTGCCCTCTGCCACCTGGGAGCGGGCCTAAGCCAACAGGTCGTTATCTCCCAAGGTGTTCCAGACTGTGAGAGGGCACAAGTGGGGCTGAGGGACACCCTCCCGCCAGTGCACAAATTTTTGTGCACCGGGCCTCTAGTAATTTTATAAAATAATAAAGGAATCTATTTACTACAGAAAAAAATAAAATAAAATAAAGTCACAAGCCAAACATTCAAGAACTCCAATTTTCTATGGGCACTAAATAATTAAAATGCCTTATTGTCTTTAAAAAAAGGAGAAGAAGAAGGCAGAGGTCTGGGAATGAGACTCAGAGCAGGGGTATCAGGATGTCATGCTAGCTCTCTTCAGCATTACAGATATAAGGCCACCATTTCTATAGCTGGAACTTTGTGCCACATGGAAGCTAGACCCCACAAACAACTATGTCACATACTTGTCATAAACTTGCAGTTGACTTACCTCTCCTGCTCTTTTCAGCCCTTCCCCACTATGATCAATTTCTCTCAATCTGACTGTTTTTATTTAAAAATATTTCCTTTAATCCTTTCTATTCTTTTAGTTTAAAAATCCTTAATTTACCTTTTTAATATATTACTAGAAGCCTGGTACACAAAAGTTCCTCAGCCCATCCCTGCACCCTCTCGCAGTCTGGGAGCCCTCACTCCTTACTGCCTGCCTGCTTGTTGCTCCTTATGCTAGGCTCACTGCTTTTTGTGCTGCCTCAAAGGCAGTAGAGGCTCCTGCCACTGCATCTGTGCTTGCCAGCCATGAGCCTGGTTTCTAGCTAAGCAGTGCTCCCCCTGTGGGAGTGCACTGACCAACAGGGGGCAGCTCCTGCATTGAGCGTCTTACCCCTGGTGGTCAGTGTGCATCATAGCAACCAGTCGTTTAGGCTTTTATTATATAGGACTAGAGGCCCAGTGCACAAAAATTTGTGCACTCGGGGAGGGAGGGGTCCTCAGCCCAGCCTGTGCCCTCTCACAGTCTGGGACCCCTAGGAGGATGACCACCTGCTGGCTTAGGCCCACTCCCTGGGGAATTGGGCCTAAGCTGGCAGTCAGACATCCCTCTGGCATCCCAGGAGCCCTCGGGGGATGTCCACTTGCCAGCAGGGAGCAGGCCTAAGCTGTAGTCAGACATCCTTAGAGCTGCTGAGGATGTGGGAGAGGCTCCCACCACCACTGCTGTACTGGCAGCCATAAGCCTGGCTTGTGGGTGAGCAGAGCTCCCCCTGTGGGAGCGCACTGACCAGTAGGGGGCAGCTCCTGCATTGAGCGTCTGCCCCCTGGTGGTCAGTGTGTGTCATAGTGACCAGTCATTCCCAGTCGTTCTGCTGTTAGGGTCAATTTGCATATTACTCTTTTATTATATAAGATAGAGGCCTGGTGCATGGTTGGGGGCCAGCTGGCTTGCCCTGAAGGGTGTCCTGGATCAGGGTGGGGGTCCCACTGGGGTGTCTGGCCATCCTGGGTGAGGTGCTGAGGGCCGTTTTCAGGCTGGCCACACCCCCTTCAGGGTAGGGGTTGCCCCTGGGGTGCCTGGCCAGCCTGGGTGAGGGGCTGGGGGCCATTTTCAGGCTGTACACAGCCCCTTCAGTGTGGTGGTCCCCATTGGAGTGCCTGGCCAGTCTGGGTGAGGGGCTGATGGCTGTTTGCAGGCTGGCCAAGACCCCCAGCAGGTACCCTCATCCCATGAGGATGTGGCCATCCTGGATGAGGGGCTGATGGCTGTTTTCAGTCTGGCCACAGCCCCCAGCCACCCAAGCTTCCAGTGGAGGCTGGCTGGAAGCAGGTATCTGGGGTTTATTTATCTTCTATAATTGAAACTGTGTTGCCTTTTGCGGAGGCCAAGCCTCCTAATTGCTCCAGCTCCGTGGCTGCCAGCCGCCATCTTGGTTGGGTTAATTTGCCTATAGTCACTCTGATTGGCTGGTGGGCGTGGCTTTGGGGCATAGCAGAGGTGCAGTCAATTTGCATGTTTCCCTTTTATTAGATTAGATATTTTATTTTTAATTTTCAATGCCATGAACCCGTTTTCAGTTTTTCTTTCTAAGGTATTAATCTTTTATTTTCATCAAATTTATGCACCATTTTATATACTGTCTTAAATCTTCACATTTCAACTCAATAGTTTTCATAATTGGACTTGAAATTCTTTTTCACCTATTCCTTTTTATTTTCTCAATCTTAGTTCATGACTTCAACTTCTACTTTCCCTTTATTATCCTGCTGAATATTTTATTTTCCCTCCATGAGCCCCTTCCCTTGTTTTTTGTTTGTCCGTTCATTTGTTGTAGTGTGTGTGTGTGTGTGTGTGTGTGTGTATGAATTTATGCTTTGATGACCAGCCAGAATTATATAAGGGTGAGACCATGGAGAGAGCCCTTGACACTATACTGGGAAGTGGGAGTGTTTTTTCCAGCCTGGGCCTTGACTCCAATGTGGATCTACCCAAGATGGTTCAGAAATGCCTATAATAACTGTCTCGGTGTTAATTATACAGAGAACACAATGAATTCCCTGGAATAAGGATGTTTCCTAATACTTCACACTTCTTATCTAGCCCTCATAATTAAAATGAAGTCACAACATCACGTAGCTCATACATTTTGTGGTAAGAATTTAGTGAGATGACATACATAAAGTGGTGCCTATCTATGCCCAGAGAATTTCCTCAAGAGAAAGCAAAACCTGCACTCTAGAACTAAAATAGACTTCTTTCTCCTCATATTTCTACATCAAGCTTGGGTTAAAGAAAGAATGGTTAATTCAATGTTACAATGTACTCTGGATGCTTATTAGAAAGTTTGAAAGTCTAGTTTGTGATCAGGTCGCCTTGGGAAATGAAGAAAGGACTTCAAAGGTCAGCTGGCTACTGAATTGCAAGTACTGTAATAAAACAGAACACGTGACAACCTTGTGCTTGCTGATCCTGAGAAGGTGTTCATTCCCAAGGCAACATAGCCTCACTTGGCAAGTTGACATTGTTGGACTAATAATATTTATACCTTGTACAAGCAAGACTTAAAATAAATAAATGAATTATAAATAAACTACCACTTCGAATGCTCTTGGGGGAGAAAGAACAAGGAGGACCAGGGGCATGTGAGAAGGGCAGGAAGTATGGTGGGCACTGTATGAGAACTGCCCCACTGTCAGGGTTTGGAGGACTTTCAATGCATCCTGCTGACTCAGAGAAATCAGAATTTCACCCTTTGGCTTTTCCTAGAACAGTCACCTTTTGTTGAAGCCAAATAGGCTTTCAATATCACATCCATCCGTAGCAGAATTCATTCTAAGGGAGAATGCCTGGACCATGAGGATATCTTGGCTCTAGGCTTAAGTGTGGGGTGGGGTAAGGAGATGGATGATTGATGCCACTAAGATATTTCTTTATCTGAAGCAGCAAAGAAATAGCCCCTTTTCTAAGGCCTGATCATAAGTGTTCCATTCCATCTATCCATGTGTATGGGATAGGGAGAATTTGGGGAAACGTCAGTCACTTGTGAGCTCTTAATCACCATGCTTTCGGTAGCCAGGGGAAAGAGCAGCTGCCTCAGGTTTGTGTGTGCTGCATGTGCTATTTCTAAGGCTAAGCTGGTCATGCCTCAGCCACCTCAGTCACAGTCAGAAGTCTAAGTAAGTCTCCCAGATTATCTGTCATCATACTGATGCTTCTACATGCCTACTCTGACCCATCTCCTACTCTTATGGCCCTCTCTAAGTCATCCTCTGTCTCCTTTGTAACTTTAGGCTTTCTCATTTAAAAACCTCCCTATATCCACAGCCCCTTTTCTTAACTTCTCTTTCTTGCTCTATAGGAAAACATGGCTCTCCAGAGGAAACAGCTTCCCTAAGACTCTAACAAGAAGGCTATTTTTATTTGAACTCCACTTACTTACCACCTATTTTTCTTTTACTACTTCCAACACATCCCTCCTACAATGTCTTTTAAAAGCCATAATTTCTTCTAAGTATATGTCATCAAATTTATAATATCCCCCATCACTATCTATTCCTGTCACACATAAGAAGCTTAGTCATGCCACCTAATTTTTGATGGCCTCAGACCCAATAAATTGCCTCACTTTCCATCATATCTTGACATTCATCATTGTCTGTAATTTCAACAACTACATTAATAATTCACATGAGACTGATTAAAAAAATGGACCCAATTGTCTATATTTCTCTGTATCCATGCCCTTTCCAACTCTGCTTATCAAGAAGTAAAGTCTATTTCTATATCCTTTTAGTTTGGTCCTATAGAACCTTAGTAGATTCTATGGCCCACATGATGATAAGTTAGAACAAGCTAAATAGATTAGTGCAGGACTTCTCCAACTTCCATTGTTAATGGAAAGTATACATTTCTGAGAAGAGCAAGGATAAAACTTATTTGATCATGGAACTCTATTTTTATGTACTTCTATGTCAATATTTTCTGATTAATAGACTTCAATCTCATTTTCTGATCAAGTTTGGGCAGCACCCATGATAGCCACAATTGCAGAATTGCATAATATTCTCAATTCTACTTGATCTCCTAACATAATAGTTAGCAGCTCCATTCATTATGTAGCACTTAATATCTGCACCTGCTTTATGGTTCTCTATACCTGCTCCTTTGTTGGCAGTAATGAACAAATTCAACAAAAATTCTTACTTTTGCTTTTCAATTTGGATTTCCTCCTCTTGAGCTTTGCATAAGTCCTCTTTAAGGCTGATTATTTGGTCACAGGATAAAAGTGGAGAAATATAGGTTCCATCAATGTGCAGATCATCAAAGCATAGCTTTCTGAAGGCATAGGAATCATCACAACAGTGACCCACACCAGCATTGATAGGCTGTGTCTCATGTCTTCTGCATAAAGCTCCAAGAATTAGCTTAGCCTTTCCCAGAATAGAAGTAAAATAAGAGCAATTAGGTTTGCGGTTGTTATTTTCTTACCCACAGAAAACAAGGTTATATTTAAGTATTCTCACACCCTAGAGATGGGGTGGGCAAACTTTTTGACTCGAGGGCCACAATGGGTTCTTAAACTGGACCGGAGGGCCGGAACAAAAGCATGGATGGAGTGTTTGTGTGAACTAATATAAATTCAAAGTAAACATCATTACATAAAAGGGTACGGTCTTTTTTTTTTTTTCAGTTTTATTCATTTCAAATGGGCCGGATCCGGCCCACGGGCCATAGTTTGCCCATGGCTGCCCTAGAGCCTTGATTTCACTGTTTGGGGGGAAAGGAAGAGTCAGGTGCAGCCTAGTTCTGAGACTTGGCTTCCCTCATCCTATCATCCTCAACTTGAGTTCACCCTATGAATCTCTATATATCTGGCTGCTCATTTCAGTCTTTTATTATAGCCTTTAATCAACTGATAAACATAAGGGACAGAATTATTAGGCTCTATGGACAGGTCATAGATGTATCCTGACATGAGATTGCTTGCTGAGGGTTGGAACTTCAAGAACAGGTAAACATGAAGTCACGGATGTGCTTACCGCGTCCTCCATGCAGACAAACTGCTGTTCATCACTCAGAGGGCAACATTTGGTGGTGGCAGCCGCCATGTTCTTTGTGAACATAACCAACTCTTGAGCAGATAGTTGTGGGGCTTTCTTAGTATAATGGACCAGGAGCCTGAAAGAATAAGTTCCTCCTACAATGACTGTGTGCCTAGAATGACGAATTCTACAGAGTTTTCCTCAATATCTGACATTGTCTCTGATTGAGGTTGAACATGGCATTAAACTGGGTTTAATTCTATCCTTTTAGTCCTTGTTCCAATAGCCCAGTGGCTTATTCAATATACCTGGCATTCTCTTCCAACCTCACACACTGTAATGTTAACCATGTTGCCTAGAGAAGTGTTCTTCAAAGAAACACTGCCACTTTGGGAGTTTTCTCTCTTGCTTTCATGTGACCTTTGAAATACAGTGGGATTTACCAGTCTTTCTGCACATAAGAAGTTGTGTGTGTTCTTTCTGGCAATTAACTAAGGTATCCATTCATCTGTACTCTCAGTGGTGACAATACTAAATTTGCCATATAGACCTGATTTGAAATGGACACAGGGACCCTACATTAGATCTCTGTTGTAGCTTTGACTCAAAATTGCAGGCAAAGCCCTAAGCTAAATGTCCAGGTGTGTGGGAGGGAGCCCCTGTGAGATTGCAGAAAGGCAGCCAGGGCCTGCTTGGCTCCTTAGCCTCTGGACATTGACTGAGATCTGGAATCTGGCCTGGAAAACAGAGGAAACGTTATATGGACATCTATCTTATCAAGACAAAGATAGCTAGGTTAATTCTAAACTGATGTTGTCCCTTAGCCTCTGAGATTTTAAGGTTGGCTATAGATTCTTTGAAACTCCCAGCATCAGGAGTTAGCAAAAACTCACTCAACAAGTATAAATCTGGACAATATCTTACAAGCATACCTGTCGTGGAAGTTACTATCTCCTAATTTCTCACGTAAATCACAATGATTTTTAACGTGCTCGTGGCTTTCATGAACCACTCGTTGGAACATCGCTTTCTGAAAAATAAAGATATCAGTGTTTATCTATCATTGTAACAATGTATCTCAGGTAAGATTGCAAAACCATCTTCTATAAGAATTTAATGTAGCTGTTTTCCTAAACCCAGGGCTTTATTTATTTACTGAGTTAACAAATCTTGAAAATCACGTTTTGCTAAAACAGGAATGGCCGTGTACTTTGTGAGGAAAAAGTGGGACAGTGAAATTAATGTTCAGTTTTTCATGATAAAAACTCATTGTGATTAAATAGCATATTTTACAAGTATAAAGCAAATCATTCATCAAGCCAAAAAGAGATCATTAATGGTAGTTTATAGATCTAAGTTTAATTGGTCAGTGTGCGTGTGTGTGTTTACTGGTTATTTTTAATAAAGCTGTCTTTTTACATAAACAGCAAATATAGAGAAAAAGATATAGAGATAAAGAAATATGGACATGTATTAAGAAGTGGTGGTGTAATAAAAACATGCAGCCTTGAAATATAGTAAAATACTGCAGAAATCCACATTAAATCAATCAAAGGGAATTCTCAGCGATTACTGTAAATTCAGCTTTTGACCACACAAATTAATTCTGGTGGGAAGATACACATGACCCTGCAGGCTGAATACTTTGGTAGGAGCACCAAACCAAGTCCCCCTGATCCTGATAGGCAGTGTTTGTTGTAGGGAAATGTTGCCAGACATGTAAACTGTTTGCCTGGATTTAAGCCTAACCCTGTCCTTACTGCCTGTATGGCATAGGGCAAGTCATTTGAACCTTCTGAAATTCAATGCTCTCATCTATAAAATGTTAGCAATTCTGGTATTACCTGATACCAAGCCTTTATGAGGACCAAATAGAACACTGGGTATAAATTTTCTGTGTTAACTCTAAACATCCATGTTTCCTTAGGTGTTATTACCATTATGATTATTGTGGAGGTCTGCTGGTGATGCCACCAGAGGGTGCTAACCTATAGGAGACTAAATCACTTTCATTTATCCTTCTCTCTGTGAACAGGAGGATGCTAAGTGGACCTGCTCATGCCCAGACAGGTCAAGAGTTTCCCTTCACCCTCCACTCTCACCCCCACCCCACACTCTATAAATACATGTAGGTAAGCCATTGGTTAGAACAAAAGCCTGTTTCCTGTTTCCTGATAACCCCCCCCAAAACAATCGAACAATCAGATTTGTAATCACCTGTATTTTTCATGTCAAATGCATAACAGGAGCTGCTGCCTATGAACAATATGATTTCTGGACAGAAATAGGAACAGTTTCCAGGCCTGCTTGGTAGAAATAGTCGACCTTCCCAACAGGCTGTGCTGTCATGCTACCTGCTACGGTGCCAGACATTTACTTTAAAGAGGAGATTGCGTAGCGAAGCTTCCAGGACTTACAGAATCTATAAGACAGTGACTTGCACAGAGAGTCACTGTGGTATGATGATGTGGCCTTTGGTTTAGATGACAGTGATAGTCCATGTGTAGTGAAATTAGCCAGAACATGTATAATCATCTTACGAAAGTATGGCACTACTAACAGAACTGTATTTTTTCCTGTGCTTGTAATCACTTACGAGTAACAGGTTGAACAATAAAAAGGCATTTACCCCATGGCTATAGCATTCCAGAGGATTTTCTAATTTACAGCATTTTTCCAATAACTTTTGATACACTGAATCCACTCTTAAAATCACTGGAACTGCCAACTCTGGATGTCTTCTTGAATATTCATAAAGAAACCTGTATCCATATGAAACATATTTGAAAGTAAACAGTAAAATTCAAAGGCTATGAGTTTTCTCTCTAAAGCCAATTATAATTCTGAAATTATTCAATATTTAACTGACCTTAAGACATTTAGAAACCTTAGGAGGCAGGCAGGTAATTTTATTGACTACATTTTGAGGTAAGGAAACCAAATCAATAAAATATATTAGGTTTTTTAAGTCACACAGTAGACAAGCCGGGATGGCTCAGTAGTTGACTGTCAACCCATGAACCAAGAGGTCACTGGTTCAATTCCCAGTCAGGGCACATGCCCGTGTCGCAGGTTCAATTTCCAGTAGGGGGTGTGCAGGAGACAGCCAATAGGTGTTTCTCTCTCATCAATGTTCCTATCTCTATATCCATCTCCCTTCCTCTCTCTCTAAAATCAATAAAGACAATAATAAATAAAATACTTTTTCAAATAAAGTCACACACTAATGAGTGGCAGATCCAAAACTTAAACCTAAAATACTTTAATTAGCTGATAGTTCATGGCTCAGAATCTCTAGTTACTTTCATTAAAAATTAATTTTAAGTACTTGGGTGAGAACACATTTTTCTCAATGATTGTTGAGGCTAGATTTTATAAGCATTACAATTCTTTTGAAAGAAGTGCTGGCTGGCTAAGTATTAAATCACCATCTTTCCTTCTTTTCCATATAAACTTTCAAGCATGAGTAGTTCATGCATAATCTACCCATTCTTCTGGATTACAAGGAAGGAAATTTGGAGTCTTAGGATATATACAAAAGAATCATAGAATTGCAGGAGGTATCTTAGAAGTCATCTTATCCATCCACCTCAGTTTACTGTCGGAACACAAGAGTCTGGAGAAATTTCGTGACTTGACCTACATGCCAAATGGCAAAGCTGGACTGGAAATCAAGTCTCCCAACTCACAGTCTAATGTGAAAACCACTAAAAAGCTAGGCCTAAGAACTTCTTCAGTACCAGATGCAAGTTTAGGAATAAGTAGGTTCAGGAAGAGACACTTACTTTTTAAGCCAATATCCAATATATATTTTGAAATATAGCTATGGACTTTCTACAAATCCAAATAATATTTCACAAAGTGATCTTGGAAATATTTGAACCATACAATAATATTGAAGTCAATTTGTCTTATGCACAAATTAATATGCATTTCTGAATGGATGCCAGAGATATTAATACTCCATCCATATCTCTAATCTTTAAATGGCACACTATGGTTTTGGGTGTAAGTATTAATTAAAATAGAAGAGCTGCCCTAGTCGGTTTGTCTCAGTGGATAGAGCATTGGCCGAGGACTGAAGGGTCCCTGATTCAAATCCAATCAAAGGCATATGCTCATGTTGTGGGCTCAATCCATGATTCTCTCTCATCACTGATGTTTCTATCTCTCTGAAATCAGTAAGGAATATATTTTAAAAATAATAATTAATATAAAATAGAAGAGCTGACCAGGTATATCATTCTGAAGCTCTTACTTAGAGGACTCTAAGTCCGTTAGAGCAAACATTTGACCTCCGCTGCATTTTTTGAAAAGTTCCTGTATTAGTTGTCAACATTTAAAAATTAAGAAACTCCAAGAATCTCTCAAAATGCAGTAGACCTAACCACCCACAGCCTGCATTCCAATATGGTAACATGTGGCTGGAGTTATGTAGTAGCTGCCAACTTTGGGCTCCACAAAACATCTCCTGCTGGTCACCGTTCCCATTTAGTTGCTCATTCACATCATTGGCTAACCGCTGTCATCATTTACATTTACAACTTTATATACTATTTTAAATAATCTATAAATATAATATTCCATCATTAATATTTTATAAAAAATTTGTATTACTCTTGTAGAAAATCATCCTGCTTGTCAGTGAATTGTTTGCATACAAATCGAGCTTCTGTAAACCTGCTGAGTGGCAGGGATGAGAGATGAGGTTTATTGTCATTTTCAGAGTTGATAATGCATTCCCCTCTGAATGGCACTGGCAGTGCACAGCATGGAGTGATCTTGCTGGATAGGAGAGCCTGTGTAGAGCAGGTATAGTTCATAAGCTGGCTCTAAAATAGAAAAGGGAGCAGTTGTGTTTGATGACTTCATTCTAACTTATTCATTAACTAGAGGCCCGGTGCACAAAAATTTGTGCACTCGGTGGGGAGGAGGGGTCCCTCAGCCCGGCCTGTGCCCTCTCGCCGTCTGGGACCCCTCGGGAGATAACGACCTGCTGGCTTAGGCCTGCTCCTGGGTGGCAGAGGGCAGGCCCAATCCCTAGGTGCAGCCCCTGGTCGGGCTCAGAGCAGGGCCGATTGGGGAGTTGGGGCGCCACCCCCTGTCATGCACAGAGCAGGGCAGATCGGGAGGTTGCAATGCCACCCTCAGTCATGCTCAGGGTAGGGCTGATTGGGGGGTTGGGGCACCGCCCCCTGTCACACTCAAGGGAGGGTCGATGGGGAGGTTGTGGCGCCACCCCCTGTCATGCGCAGAGCAGGGCCCATCAGGGGGGTTGGGGCTCCGTACCCTGTCACGCACAGAGCAGGGCCCATCAAGGAGTTGAGGAGCTCCCCCCTGTCACTCACAGAGTAGGGCCGATAGGGGAGTTGGGGCACCGCCCCCTGTCACACACAGAGCCGCAGGGCGATCAGGGGGTTTGGGCGCTGCCCCCTGTCACACTGATCCCGGTGCCGGGAGGCCTCGTGGCTCTGCTGATCCCGGTGCTGGGAGGCATATTACCCTTTTACTATATAGGATAGAGGCCTGGTGCATGGGTGGGGGCAAGCTGGTTTGCCCTGAAGGGTGTCCTGGATCAGGGTGGGGGTCCCCACTGGGGTGCCTGGCCAGCCTGGGTGAGGGAATTATGGCTGTTTTCAGGCTGGCGAGTGACTGAAGCTCCCAACCGCTCCTTTTTTTTTTATTCTGGGCCAGCTTTAGCTTTGAGGCTTGGCTCCAGCTCTTAGGCCTCCACTGCTGAAAGCAGGTTTCTGGCCTTTGTTTACCTTCTGTATTTGAAACAAAGCCCAAAGGACTAAAGCAGGTTTCTGGGGTTTTGTTTAGCTTCTATATTTGTAACATAGTTCTTAGAGTTGCAGCTCAGAGGCCTGCAGCGGCAGGCAGGGAACGTTGGAGTCCTCCGTCACTGAAGCAAGCAAGCCTCATGTTCGCTTTAAGCTGCCTGGCTGCCGGCCGCCATCTTGGCTGGCAGTTAATTTGCATATTGCCCTGATTAGCCAATGGGAAGGGTAGCAGTTTCTCTTTTATTAGATAGGATTAATTTATTTATTTATTGTTATTAATAGAACACAAGAGAAAAAACTTCTCATCTTATATTGCTTTATCCTTGGCAAACTGAAAGAAAAAAAAGTCATTTGTAGTGACTCATTCTAATTAGAAAAGCTTCTCTATTTGACCTTACTCAATGTCACAATCTCTTTTAAATAGACCATAGTATTGTTTCCATGTTTACGTCAACAAAATACAAATGAAGAGTTTTATTGTCTTGCTATTGTTGTTATTGTTGTAAGATCTCAATTTAGGAGACATTTTTCTCTGTCATTTACTATATATCCTATATAATAAAAGGCTAATATGCAAATTGACCAAATGGCAGAAAGACCGGTCGCTATGATGCACCCTGACCACCAGGGGGAAGATGCTCAATGCAGGAGCTGCCACCTAGTGGTCAGTGTGCTCCCACAGCTGGGCTCATGGCTGGTGAGCACAGAGGTGGTGGCAGGAGCCTCTCCCACCTCTATGGCAGTACTAAGGATGTCCGACTGACGACTTAGGCCCACTCCTCACGAGGAGTGGGCCTAAGTCGTCAGTCAGACATTCCCCAAGGACTCCCAGACTGTGAGAGGGCACAAGCTAGGCTGAGGGATGCCCCCCTCCCCCGAGTGCATGAATTTCATGCACTGGGCCTCTAGTATTACAATAATATTATTATTATGTATACTTACATACATTTACCTATCCATACATATGTACACACAAATAATGGTGTGTGTGCATGAATAAGCTAGTCTCTACACTTAAGCAACTCACAATCTAGTTGGAGGGTCAAACAATTAAACAATAATAATGCATTATAACAGAAGTTGTAAAAAAAGGAATATATATGATACTTTGGAAGAAAAAAGCAATTTGTAGTGTGAAGATCTTGAATAATTTAAATCTTAAAGTACATATAGAAGTTAGTTGGAAACAAGAGAAGAGGAAAAGCATTCTAGAATTGTTTATCTTTATAAAGAATCTTAGAGGTAAGAGCAAACTGTCACACCGGTTTCTATCTTAATCCCTGCTCATTTCACTGACAAGTTCTTTCAAACCTTCACAGAAAGGTAAGTCTCAATACTATTTAATTTATGTCAAAAAATTCAAAAGGAAAAAAAAATTCTAATTCATTATTTAGAAGTTAGCATAAGTAAATACCAAAATCTGATAAATGATAATTACTTTTGCAGATTCATTACATACCACTATCACCTTTATTTAAGCAGTACAAGGTTTTTAAATTAACTAATTGGGGTGATATTGGTTAATAACATTATACAAATTTCAAGTGCACAATTCTATGATACATCATTGCATTGTATGCTCATCACCCAAAGTCTACCACCATATAGTTGACCCCCTTTAACCTCTTCATCCTCCTCCCAATCTTCGTCCCCTCTGTTAAGAATTATAAGTATTTTAAAGGCCAGAGTGAGTTTTGAGAAAACAGAGGATCCTACCCTGCCAAATACACATGCTACTGCATTTCCTTCACAACAGGTCTGATGAAGATTTTTAATATCAGCAGCCAGTTTGGCAATTTCAGAAAAGTTAGCTTTAGGTTGTTTTTTAGTCAACAGAACCAATTCCCTGAAAAAAAAAAAAAAGTACATTTTAAACAACATTGTGAATTTGGTTATTTCTAAAGTTAGTTCTAATTCATTGAGTAACCAAAAGGATAGAAACACATTGTAAATGTAGGGTGAAGAGAATATTTTAAATGCTTTCTGTTTCTTCAGTGATGGCACCCAGAGTCATATAATATCTAAGTCACAAAACAAATATGATTTAACTGATAATCATGGATAATATAGTCATTTTAATCATTTAAATTATTGCTGAAAGAGTTGAGCTGCTTAGAGAAGTGATTTGGTATTTATCTGACCTGATTTTCCAAGTAAAAGTCTTCATCACAAAGAGAATAATTACAGGAGGCTTGGGTCTCCCTTGCCTCTCTCTGTTGACAACTGAGCAATATCCTTGAAATTTCTCGGGAAATAGGGAAAATGGGCCTGCCTTGGAAGGAGAACTGAGCTTCTAGGCAGCCCAATGTTGTCCTAAATTGGAGAAGAAGGTAATATAAGGCAGATGCATGTCTTTAGGGGCCAACTTGGACAGAAACACAATCTAGGCCAGGAAAGAGGCATATTGGATAACATCAAATTCTTCTCCCGCCTCATCCTCCTCCATTCCCACCCCAAGAAACACCATTGACTTCCTCTGTTCTGTGTAACATTGAGGTCAATGTTTTCCTATCTTCCCAGAAAAAAGAATAGCTTTTGTCCTCCAGCCTTTATCATGCAGAATAATTAAGTACCTGCTTCTGTATGTGTGGAATCAGTTGTGCACCAAGGAAGAGACTAAGGGTGAGCAGATGGAAAAAACTGAGGCAGGAGATAATGGGCAGAAATTACAATTGTGCAATTTCATGCCCAGCCCTGTGTGCCCTATTGCACAGGCAAGGCAAGTAGCGTATGTGTAGAGAAAAGAACCAGGTCTGTACTGAGAGACATTATTAAATGAAAAATAAATGATTTTTCAAATTAGTTTAATCAACAGGGTGATCCAGCAACAACAAAGTCCACAAATCTGAAAAGGTAACTTACACTGCTTTAGCTACTTTGTGGTTGAATTTAGTCTCAATTTCACATAAATGATGATGCCTCAAAGATATTTCTCTAATGTATTTTCTGATGGGTTGTAGCTGTAATTAGAAAAACAAATCATCAAGGAAATATGGTAGTTACATTCGTCATTAGTAAAGAAAAGAAAAAAGTAAAAATTGTGTATCTCTTCAAAATTAGAAAAATTTTAGTGTCATATTTAAAAGAGGCCAAATGCAACAGCATAATTTTGGGGGCTTTTGTTGTTGTTGTTGTTTTATAAAATAGCAACTCTTTTCAGCAGAGATCACTTGTTCCAGTGATCAAACATTTGGAATATAAATGAGAACAAGAAACTGAACAAAGGAAAGTCACTAGAGTACATTTGATATGTGTTACAGTTGTATTTTGGTTTTATTCAAGTAACTAACTCTGTCATTTTGGACATGTCTCCAAGTGTTATCTATAATATGATTTAGTTTTACAATATATATTAATGAAGTCCCCCCCCCAAATATGTTCATTCTTTAACTCAGGATTTTTACTTTTGAAACTATTGCAAATATACTTTTCTAAATAGATAAAAACAAAATTGCTCAAAAATGTATTTTATGATAGCAAAAATTTGGAGACAAAATGTTTCAACAGCAGAGAGGGGAGGGGGTTAACTTAATAGCGCATTATTTTTTAAAAGATGTATATTGCTAATAAAAAGTTAAGATGTTTAAATCTCTATCAAAACTCTTTAGTGTGATTGCACAATGTACAAAATAAAATCTGTAAAGAAAAAAAATACCAAAATTGATATCTCTCAGTGGTGGGAATGTAAGTAATAGTTTAAAATTTCAGAAGAGGTCTATATTTTCACTGAAAACATTATATTGACCACATAATACTTTTACTTTGGGTAACTGCACCTTACAGTACTATTTTTAAGAACAAATTAGAAAATATATACAAAGGAAATATTCAAACCACAAAACTGACACAATAATTATAATTATATTTTTATAATTAATTACAAATATAATTTTATCTTTAATACTACGCATCTGAAATTAAGTACAAACACACACACACACACACACACACACACACACACACACACACATATATATATATAAGCTTAAGTGACCATTATGACCGGTTGACCAGTCGCTATGATGCACACTGACCACCAGGGGGCAGACACTCAACACAGGAGCTGCCCTTGGTGGTCAGTGCGCTCCTACAGCCAACCTCCTGTGGCGGTCAACCTCCCATGGTCCCTCCCCCTGGCTGGCTGGCACCGATCAGCCCCAGTAGAGACTGGGCGAGAAGGCCACGGTTGGCCCCTGATCACCAGACAGTCCGAGGGACTCCATCTGTGCACGAATTCATACACCAGGCCTCCAGTTTATTTATAAGAGAGTTTCTGAATACTTAGTTCATAAGGTTGTGTCTGATCACAGATACAACTTTTGCACAATTGGTTATGTAATTTTTTCTGAGTTTGGGAGGCAGAACTACTAGGAACAGACATCTTGGAAGTAGCAACTCTAAATATCACAAAACGAGGTAGAGGAGAAAAGAACTCTTAACCAACTTAAAAAAATTTGCTTATACCTAACATTATAGAGGCTTGTTATACATGAAAGAAAAATTTTCATTGCAAGGGTTAAGGTTAACAAAACTTTGTAACTTAAAATAGTAAGCACCAAGTTACCTTGAGAATGCATTTTCATGAAAATTCTCAATCTTCAGAAATACCAGGTAATGAAACATAAGTTTGCATGATCATTTACTTTTTGGTTTTTATTAATATGAAACCAAAAGCAATAAAAAAAAAATACTGTCCTGCTAGGAATACAGAATTGGCTTCCGAAAGAATTGGTGTTCACTAAGAGAATGAATGAAGAGGAAGGCTATATATATATATATATATATATTCTACATAATAAAAGGCTAATATGCAAATTGGTCGAATGGTGGAATGACCAGTCACTATGACACACACTAACCACCAGGGGGAAGAAGCTGGGCTCATGGCTGACAAGCGCAGGGACAGTGGCGGGAGCCTCTCCTGCCTCCACGGCAGCACTAAGGATATCCAACTGCCAGCTTAGGCCTATTCCCAGCAGCAGGCCTAAGCCATCAGTTGGACATCCCCTTAGGGCTCCTGGACTGCAAGGGTGCAGGCTGGGCTGAGGGACCCCCCAAGTGCACAAATTTCATGCACTAGGCCTCTAGTTTAATGATAATAGCTATAATTATTGCATATTAGCATATGCCAGAAACTCTTTAGATATATAATTTAATTTCTTGTACAAGGTAGACAATGAAGAACTCAATAGGAGAAACAATGTAAAGGAATAGAGAAATAGAAGTTTAGAGGAATATGAGATAACATCTCACTGAAAAGATTAAAAAAGAAAACAGCAAGGAAGAAGCGGCACTGCTTTTAGCCTTGAGGAATTCATCAACGTGATTATCAAACTACTACTCATTTCATCACAACCTTTGGAAAATCCATCTGGTGCCTCCTCTAGAAAAAATGGTTATTGTACATTGATATTTAGAACCTTTAATTTGCACACACAAAACATATTTTGTCATGAAATTAATCACATTTACAACTATTTATACATAATTTAATGAAGGGCAAAATGCCACATGGTTAAAATTAAGTGTGGCTGACTGTATATTCCAAAGATGACTACAGCAATGTTTTCTATCTTATGCTCGTCTTACAGTGAGACATTGACAGTTCTCCCATTGAAAGTTACAAGATTATTATATACTGTCCCCTTCAAACTGATAGTTTTCATGGTGTTTCAACCACAGAGTATGGCAGAAGTAACATCTGAGTCTGGGTCTTGAAAGGACACATCATTTCTGCTTTACCCACTAGAATACTCAGTCTTAAAGACTTTGGCCATGGGAAAGCAGTGGAATTGCCCAAGACTGCCATGCTGTAAGGAAGCCCAAACTACTTAAGGCATTGTGGGCAATGAAGAGAGGCTATAATAAATCTCACCAAAAATAACCTCACAGGGTGATCTGATCACAGCTTCCTAACTGGGCCCATCATAGTGGGCTGACATTTTAGCAAAATGTTTATCTTTGCCTTAATCAAGTCCTGTCCATTGTTTCTGTACATCTATGTTAACATCTTTGAAATGCTTTATAATCTTGTTAACTATCCAATGTATAAAACTGCCAAACTGCCATTTTCCCAAGCATTTAAGATTTTGGTTTCTTGCAGTGTCATCAGTTTAGCTCAAATAAAGTCTTTTAAAAATTCTCTACAGGTTTTTGCATTCTTTTGTCAACATCAGAGAGAATTCTTGGAGAGGCCCTGAGATTGTATGAGAAGAAAGAGATGTTGAAGCACCTCCGCCCCCCGATTGCCCCTCCCCCGCCCCAGTGTTTCAGCCCTTTAGAGTTCCAGACCCAAGCATTGTCTGACTATAACCACATGAAAGGCCATGGGACAGAAGTGTCCAGATAAGTCCTTCCTGAATCCCTGCCAGTCAGAAATCAAGAAAATGAAATGATTGTTTTAAGTCACTAAAATTTGGGGTGTTCTGTTACGTAGCAACAGTAACTGAGATATTAAATATTTATTATGGAGTAGTATCTATGCTAGATCATGCTCCTCAAATTTATGACTATACATATTGCCTAGGTATCTTGTTAAAATGAAGTCTTGTCTAGTAGGTCTGGAAAGAGCTGCAGATTCTGCACTTCTAACAAGCTTCCAGGTGATGCATATGCCGTTGATCCACAGCCCACACTTTGCATAGCAAGGCCCTGAATAACAGTTGACATATGAGTATCTTACCTTTATCTGGAGGCATTCAATCTTATTATCTTCTTGGCAACATGACTGAACAGCTGTTTCATAGCAAGCAGACATGGTCAGAATAGTGGGTCCATATAAGAATGGATGCTTTCTAGAAGTTTCATAAATGTACCTGTAATTTGACAAACCAGAAATTGTGTACTTTGGAGTTCAAGAACATGTGCAGATGCTGTTTCTTAAAAATTTAGGGTTGCCCTAGCCAGTTTGGCTCAGTCAATAGAGTGTCGGCCTGTGGACCAAAAGGTCCTGGGTTCAATTCTGATCAAGGGCACATGCCTGGGTTGCAGGATCAATCCCCAGTGGGGGTGTGCAGGAGGCAGCCGATCAGTGATTCTCTCTCATCATTGATGATTCTATCTCCCTCTCTTCCTCTCCCTTCCTCTCTAAAATCAATAAAAATATATTTTAAAAAAATTTAGGGTTCACTTAGTTTTGTTGACCTGTAACATCTAGAATATCATGGTGTGAATGATATGAACTAGCACTATATTTAAATGCATCAAATGTTCACAATGGATAGATTACTGTGAAGTTAGTCAGACATTTCGACTGCCCATGAGGTAACCAAGTGTACCTCTGGGGTGATGGGGAAAGAGAATCAGGAATCAAAACTTTTCACTCTTATATAAGCATAGAAATTAGAAAATTCAATAGTCTAAACTGAATTATAAATGCAGGATTGTACACAAGTACAGAGGAATTAAATTTAGAAGTTCTTTCTAGACTAAAGAAGTGTTATCTTTTCAGTCCAAAGTAGCTGACTTTTTCTACAGCTATGATATAAATTACTGTTTCCTTGGTTGAGAATTAAATCAAGTTCTTGGCTTATAATTATGAGGCAAGTAGTAGAAAATTATTTGTCCCTTGAATATTTATAGTTGTATGCACATAAGTTAAAATTAGCAAATAAAATAGCCCCTTAATTACTGACTTTATTATAAATATTCAAGAAGAGGTTAAATTCGCTGCCTGAGTATTGGTTGGAATGTTTAATCTCTGAAAGTTCAACCCAAATCTGATTCTATAATTCTCACCTACGTTAAATGGGTAGCCATTTTTCCGTTCCCATTTAGTTGCCCTTAATATCAGACAAGTTGGGACCCTATCCAATTTCTGTTCCATCATCCTTTCTCCCTATGTGGCTGAGGACACTTAATTTTTTCTTGAAGGCTCAGTAATTGCTGGAGCAATTCTGCCCTTTTATGGGTAAATTAAAAGAATTAGCATTATTCAGCATTGTCACCCTGTCTGCCCATTCATCTCTGGCCTAGAGTTTCATGACTAAAACCTGAAATCAAACTTCTTCCATGACTTGCACTCTAGAACCAGCAATCAAATCTTTCCTTATTCCTGGTGTCTGAGCCTATACTGATAAGATGGCCAGAACTGGATTCCTTGAGGACTGAAGCCTTGTATTTATCTTGTCATTTCTACCTCTCTAGGTATTGATTTCCTGCCTCTTAACCCCAGCCACTTGCTAGCACAGTACTCTCAACATATAGTCTCCTCCTGTGTTAACTAGAAAACCAAAATATGAGCTTGACTACTCATTTGCCATATGCTGTCTACTCCAGGTGGGAATTATAGAACCAGAGTTCTTGTGTAGAAAACTCATTTCTGACATCTACAATTGTTACTTATTCCTAGTGTCCCAATGACAGACCCTGTGTCCATGCCTATCGGATACCATTCCTGATATCCTCTGATGAACATCCCAAATGCCATCCCCTTGCCTGAGCTATTACCTGCTTTCTGTTTCTAGTACTTTCTGTTTATTATGCTTTACCTGCTTGACTATACATTTCAACATCATTTGCTTCTGGTTTGACTAATGTAACCTTTAAGGAGATGGGTTCATTATAGGTTCTAGTCACTTTTAATGTTTCATGGCTCAGACATGTCCATATCCTATTGAGTTCACTGAGACCATAATTGTCATTCAGAGGGAGAAAAAATATATTGTAGCTCAAATTTTCACTTTAATTCCATGTCATAGAGCATTGTGTTCTCAGAGGCTGTTATGTAAAAAAGACCTGTTTTCAAAACTGGAAAGTACTCTTCTTCAAAGACAATGGCAAGGAGAAATGACTTACCTCTTCTTCACTAACACTTGATTCCCTTTGTTCACCTCACAGATCTGCTCAAGATTTGGAATTTGCAACATTTCGCTGTAATTTGCATCATCTTTTTTATTTAATAGGAAGCACTTATGTCTTGCTGTGTTATTTACATTGCAACAGTCAGAAAATACATGTTTGTCAACCATTCCTTGGTTATTACATATATACTCTAAGAAGGTGGTCATCTGTAGGAGGAAATAATAATTTAAAGAAGAAGCATGTGGGTTCTACATTCCTAACCACAGGAAGAGTAAGGAATTATTATTTTTAAAAAGTATAGTTTTATTGATTTCAGAGATGAAGGGGGAGAGAGAGAGAGAGATAGAAACATCAATGATGAGAGAGAATCATTGATCGGCTGCCTTCTGCATGCCCTCACTGGGGATCGAGCCCACAACCTGGGCATGTGCCCTTGACTGGAATCTAACCTGGGACCCTTCAGTCCCCAGGCCGATGCTCTATCCACTGCGAGCCAAGCCAGCCAAGGCAGAAATTATTTTTTTTATAGGCAACTGAGTGCAGAATGTTACACTTTGTATCCAATAGCCCCTGGACATAGTTCTTCTGTACAAAAGTCTTTTAGGTTTGTAAGTCTAAATTCTCACATGTTGGACATTGACCAAATAGAATTTATCATTCTCTCCTTTCCTATGTAATTGCTTCATTTTCACACAGTTCATAATATTAAAATAAACCTAAGCCAGAATGTCCAGGGCCTAAAGAAATCAAGATATTTTAAGTGAGAATTATCTACCAATAAATAGATAGTAGTTTGCTTTCCTATCTTCCTAGTTTTATTTCCATGGCAAGTTATATTAAGAATTGAACTCTGAAGCAATGTGTATTTAGTGTCAAATATTCAAGTGGAAATGTAATAATTCAGTTAGTTTTCAAATACCTTTGGGTGGCAGTAAATGTGTGGAATAGTGTAAACTTCAAATGACATGTTTTAAGATTTGGGGGATAAAAGAGTAAAATCTTCAGCTTTTGAAATGTAAATAAGAAGAAATCACTATAAAATAAGTGAGTCTAGCCCAGGAGTGGGCAAACTCTTTGACTCGAGGGCCACAATGGGTTTTTAAACTGGACCAGAGGGCCGGAACAAAAGCATGGATGGAGTGTTTGTGTGAACTAATATAAATTCAAAGTAAACATCATTACATAAAAGGGTACGGTCTTTTTTTTCAATAGTTTTATTCATTTCAAACGGCCTGGATCCGGCCCGCGGGCCGTAGTTTGCCCACGGCTGGTAGCCACTGACATAAGTACTTCATTTAAAATCTGTTTCTAATAAGACTAATGATTTTTCTAAATATATATACAATCTAATAAAAGGTAGGTTTTAGAGGAAGGAATAAAAATAGAAAGAAGAAAACTACTCATTTGTATTTTAAATTGTTTGTCATGAGAATAATTGGTCAAGCAGATAGGTAGGTAAAAGATGACAGATAGATGATAGAAAGAATATGTTAGTGTTTATCAAGAATTTGCTAATCACAAGATAGACATACTTTATAAAAAACAATAGTAATTCCTAAGATTTCAAGATTATTTACTAACTTGGAAAAGAGCCCATAATAATATTCACTTCTTTCTTCTTTTACATATTCTCTAAGAAACATTTTAAAATTAGTACTTCATTTCCTCAGGAACTTTTTTTTTTTAATTAAATCTTTATTGTTCAGATTATTACATTTGTTCCTCTTTTTACCCCCCATAACTCCCCTCCTCCCAGTTCCCGCCCCACCATCCGCCCTCACTCCCCACCCACTGTCCTCATCCATAGGTGCACGATTTTTGTCCAGTCTCTTCCCGCATCTCCCACACCCCTTTCCCCCCCAAGAATAGTCAGTCCATTCCCTTTCTATGTCCCTGATTCTATTATAATCACCAGTTCATTCTGTTCATCAGATTATTTATTCACTTGATTCTTAGATTCACTTGTCGATAGATACATATTTGTTGTTCATAATTTGTATCTTTACCTTTTTCTTCTTATTCCTCTTCTTAAAGGATACCTTTCAGCATTTCATATAATACTGGTTTGGTGGTGATGAACTCCTTTAGCTTTTCCTTATCTGTGAAGCTCTTTATCTGACCTTCAGTTCTGAATGATAGCTTTGCTGGATAAAGTAATCTTGGTTGTAGGTTCTTGGTATTCATCACTTTGAATATTTCTTGCCATTCCCTTCTGGCCTGCAAAGTTTCTATTGAGAAATCAGCTGACAGTCGTATGGGTATTCCCTTGTAGGTAACTGAGTTTCTTTCTCTTGCTTCTTTTAGGATTTTCTCTTTGTCTTTTGCCCTTGGCATTTTAATTATGATGTGTCTTGGTGTGGTCCTCTTTGGATTCCTTTTGTTTGGGGTTCTCTGTGCTTCCTGGACCTGTAAGTCTATTTCTTTCACCAGGTGGGGGAAGTTTCCTGTCATTATTTCTTCAAATAGGTTTTCAATATCTTGCTCTCTCTCATCTTCTGGCACCCCTATAATTCTGATGTTGGTACACTTGAAGCTGTCCCAGAGGTTCCTTACACTAACTTCGTATTTTCGGATTCTTTTTTCATTTTGCTTTTCTGGTTGGGTGTTTTTTGCTTCTTCGCATTTCAAATCTTTGACTTGATTCTTGCGCTCCTCTGGTCTGCTGTTGGGGGGGTCTGTATAGTATTCTTTATTTCAGTCAGTGTATGCTTAATTTCTAGTTGGTTCGTTATCATAACATCGAGGGTCTCATTAGATTTCTTGTAGATCTCATTAAGTTTATCGGCAGCTTCTAGACAGTTCTTGAGAGACCTTAAAAGTGTGGTTCTGAACTCTATATCTTCCATTGACAATTTTGTCCTGTTTTTTTGTCTCCGCATTTTTTTTAATGCTTTCTTGGTGCACCCCCTAGTGGTCTTTGTGCGCAGTCTTGTTGTACTAAAGCCTTGATTGTTGTAGTTAATACTGGGGGGATTTGACCTCCAGGCCAACTGGCTATGAGAGTCAGCTGTGTCTGTAGTGGGAGAGCTTCTGTGCTGGATCTCTGGGGCGGTGCTAATCTAGCCCTTGCCTGAGGCTATCCGGCAAATGGCTCTGTGCAGGGCTTGGGCGGGGCGGGTCGCATGGGATCAAACAGGGCAGGCCGGATCGTGCAGTTATGGCTGCTCTCAGTTCCGTCCCTAGGTGCTCTGCCTCACAGAGTCCCAGCAACCGCTGCAAACCTCGGAGAGAAAGCTGCCTTCGAGTTCCGACCGAAGCCAGACAGTCCCGCTTCTCCCGTTTGAGTCTGGGTCCCTAGAGACTCGCCTGGATCTGGAGCTCAGAGTCTGAAATTCCCTCCCGAATGAAAACAACAACCGCGCCCTCCGCCGCCAGAACGCCCCGCGCGCACACTCCGCACCTGAGTATTTCACTTCAGCACTGCGCCTTCTCTGAGTCTGGGTATGATATTCTCTTTCCTCCTAGTTGTAGAATTTCCACTCAGCCAACCTTCCTGTGGTTCTGGATGATGTTCGTTCCGTCTTTTAGGTGTACCCTTGAATTGGTTGTTTGAGGCAGCAATCTCCGGCGTTAACCTATGCCGCCATCTTGTTTTCCTCCTCTCAGGAACTTTTATACAAAGATGTTAGACTATAGTAGTTTAGTGCTGGAGGGAAAGCAACCAACTTAACAAATTGACAATTTAGGCTATAATTCATTTCCTTGAATGTTTGGTTCCAAGAGTCCTAGAGATGATCTGATAAACTATCTATACTAATAAAAGCGTAGGTGGTCCTTGCACCCTCACACGCAACATCATCACAAGATGGCCACCAGAAAGATGGCTGCCACAAGATGGCCACATACACAACAGAGGCGGTGCCAGGTGGCTGCTCATCGCAATGAGGACTGGGGGTCCAACAGCTCTGTGTGACTTGGACAAGGTGGGTCCCAGCGTCTCTGCCAGCTCGTGTGGAAGAGGTGGGTCCTGGCACAGGAGGCAGGTCGTGGCAGGGGAGGGCAGTTGGGGGTGATCAGGCTGGCAGGGGGGCGGTAAGGTGTCAATTAGGCCAGCAGGAGAGCGGTTAAGGGCGATCAAGCTGGTAGATAGAAGTGATTAGGGCAATCAGGCAGGCAGGCAGGTGAGCAGTTGGGAGCCAGCAGTCCTGGATTATGAGAGGGATGTCTGACTGCTCAGGGATTGGGCCTAAACCAGCAGTCAGACATTCCCCGAGGGGTCCCAGATTGGAGAGGGTGCAGGCCGGGACATGCATTTTGTACACCGTGTCTCTAGTCTATACTAATAAAAGCCTAGGTGGTGTCTCGCCCTTGCATCATCACAAGATGGCCGCCCTCATATCATCACAAGACGGCTGACCCTACATCATCACAATATGGCCACCCCCATGTTGTCACAAGATGGCTGCCCCGACATTGTCACAAGATGTCCACCACAATATAGCCACCATAAGATGGCCGCCACAAGATAGCCGACAGGGGAGGGCAGTTAGGGGTGACCGGGCTGGTAAGGGAACAGTTAGGTGTCCATCAAGCTGGCAGGGGAACAGTTAGAGGGCGATCGGGCTGGCAGGGGAACAGTTAGAGGGCGATCAGGCTGGCAGACAGAAGGGGTTAGAGGCAATCAAGCAGGCATGCAGGGGAACGGTTAGGAGTTAGTGGTCCCAGATTGTGAGAGGAATGTCTGACTGCCGGTCAGTTGGACACACCCCAAGGGGTTCCAGATTGGAGAGGGTGCAGGCTGGGCTGAGGGACAACCCCCAAGTGCACAAATTTCATGCACTGGGCCTCTAGTCTACATATATATAACAAGGTAGCAAACATAACATGGTAACAACCAGTCACTATGATATTCACTGCAGCCAACAAACCAGCCCGATAGGGGGTGGGGTCAGCAGGCCAACCTCCCCGAAACCCCATCCCCAGCCAGCCCAGCACCTGATCACCGCCCACCACGATCAGGGGCAGGGCTGGCCAGCCAACCGCCTGCACCCCCTCCCCCCAGCTGACCCTGCCCCCAGTGGGTCCCTACCACCCCGATTTGCCTTCGGTCTCTCCTCCGAGCCAGCTCCACCCCCGATTGGCTCCCCCGACTCTGATCAGGGGCAGGGCCAGCCCACCTACTACCCATGGCCTCTCCCCCAGGCCGCTGAACCCTGATCAGCCCCTCCACCCTGATTGGCTCCCACACACCAATAGGGTATGGGGTTTGCTGGCCCACCACCCACAGCCCCTCCCTATGGCCAGCCTCACCCCTAATCACCTCCCCCACTCCAATTGGGGCCGGGGTCCACCAGTCAATCACCTGTGGCCCCTCTCCTCAGCTGGCCCAGCCCTGATCTGGCCCCAATCAGATTGGGCCAGCCAGCCTACCTCCTGCTGTCTCCTCTCAACAGGCCCGACACCAATCTGCTGATTGGGGCTGGGCTGGCCGGACCCCACCTGTGTATGAATTCATACACTGGGTCTCTAGTAAGTTTATAAAACTATAAAGATTATATCATAAGTATGAATATGTACATATTGCTGCCTTACAATCGTCAACCAATTTTTTCAGTGAGCCCTTCTTATAACAACATGTTTTGGTTGCAATTTAATTGAGAGAGAGAGAGAGAGAGAGAGCAAGAGAAAGGTAGAAGGCACAAGATGATTCACATACCAACTGGTAAGAGCATTCTAAAGGTGACTCATGTAGCTTGAGGCTCTTGCATTTCTCTGCAAAATCTAGTAACTCTTCAACTATGGTTTGTACTTCTTCATAAGTGGATTTCTGAAGAAACTGAGCAACCATAATGCTAATGCTGAAACATGACACTGTGAGTGTTAAAGATAGAATTGAACACTTTTCCACCATCATTCTTGTTATCTCTTTGTCCCACTCCCCTCCCCCTAAATAATTAATGTGATTTTAAGTTTCAGATAAAAGTGTATTGATAATAAAACTCACATGTCTCTTAAGTTCTCCTCCAGATAATTCTGGCTATTAGAGTGCTGCATGGCTGAGGTGGAGGGGCAGGGGGAGAAAAAGAGGCTTTATACCAGGAAATTTTCCAAATTGAAATCCCCCTTTATAGTTCTGAAATCTATATTTATTCACCCATAAATTTTCACATGTATTTTTGATTATCATAATAAATTTTAAAAAGTATTAGAATATATCTTTGCTTGTATTTAAACTGTATTATGTGAATGACATTTCTATTCAATATATTGTGCAATTGAAATCTATCATTGGCCTACAAATGAGTTACATGTACTTACATTGAAACTTCTGAAATAATTGAACTTGATGATTTGGTTATTTAACTTTAAATTAGAAGAGTTCAATACCACACTGAAGAAATTTTAAGAAAATTAGAGTTTGCTTAATTTGGCAAAAGTAATATCTCACATGTATTGGATTTGCTCGTCATCTTCATCTTATTCCTTCTTATACTAATAGCTTCTATAATGCTTAGCAGCTATCTAGTAAGTAAAGAAGCCACTATTACTTGCTATACTAACATAGGGGAAGGCTTTAGAGATAGCTATTCTGAATTCAACTTTGAGCTCTGATGCTTAATGTGGCTTTGGGAAAATAAGCTCTCAGAATTTGTGTTTCTCTATAAAATGCAAACAAGTTCTATTACACTAGATAGTTGTTCACATTAAATGAAGTCATATGTGTGAAGCACCAAGCATAGTGCCTGGCTCACAATAGTTACTAAATAATGTAGTTCTAATATTATTCATGCTATTATGAATACTTTTGATTTATCTAAAGCCCTTTATCAAATTTTAAATGCAAGTTTAAAATGTACCATTCTCTCACCAAAGTGAAAATAAGACTAAAATGAGGTTTTCCTGTGGGTTGATTCAATATATTAGCTCTCTTCACTCATTCATTTCATAAGTTAATTTACATCAATTTTCAATGACCCAATGATAGTAATGAGCACTGAGAAAGAGAAGTCATTCCATGTGCATTTCAGTAGTCATTACCTCTTACTAGTACTCTGGGCACATGGAATGTATAGATTGGAAATAGGATTCCCTACCTGCATCTAGTAAACTTCTCTGAAGAGTTTGACCTTTAATGTAGCTGAAGAAAGCAAGAAAATATATGAATCTAACAGTCTTCATTTTGTCAGACAAACTTTTATGGAAGGTACTCTATCATTGGAGGGAACTGAAGAGTCCCCTTATAGTCTTTTTAATTAGTTAATATTAATAATTAAACTTTTTCTGGTGAATATTTTTCCAGGCCACTATGACACTGATCAAGTTGAAGAATTCATAGCAATGATGAAATGTTGATGGATAGCCATTCATTAACGAATACTGGATTTTAAAATGAGTTATGTCAATGTACTTGTTTTTTCAAGATTACACCATGTAGGCCTTGCAATGAAGTAATCAATAACACTTTGGTTAAACATCTCTTTTCCTAGAAATGTCTGCTGACAAGGTCAAAGTTCTAAAGTGAGGGGAGAAGATAAATATGAACTACCCCCAATTCAAATAAACGGTTAAGGCCCCAGTTCCAGTGCTAGACACCTTTTCAAGCCCCTGAGAAAAGTAGAGAGCACAAGCCTTTGGAGAAAGCACAAGGGAATGGGATTGAATTGACTGAATGCTTACTGTGAGTCTGGCACTTTATATTACCATATACTAGCAATACTCTTTCTTGAATAAGGAATTAAGACTCAGGGTCATAGTATTTGCTCATGCATTCACAGGTAGAGATTAAGGCTTGTCTGACTTCAGAGCCTATACCAGCCAAGAGCTAGTATCAACAGCTGAGGTCCCAGCATTCCTCAGCTGCTGTCTGCTTGCCTGTCATTTAATTCTTGGGTCTATGGAAGGAAACACTGATTAAATAAAAATTCTAAAACGAATGTAAAGTCCACAATTTTTGGAAATGAGAGATCGCTGAGATTCCTGTCCTCAGTTTCCTCATCTACAGAGGGAGGGTTTGGACCAGAGATGGAGGGAAGGCCATCTCTAAGGCTGGCAGTCCATTGCTTGATTCTACTACACACGTATTCTCATTTCTGGGCTTCTAGGCAAAATATATCACAACTGAGAGAGATATTTGTTTGAAAAGCAAAGCAAAACTGTCATTATTTAAAATTGGGACACATTGGCTAATGTAAAGAATACTGATGGCCACGTGTGATAGAAAGCCAGGGTCAGCGAATGGAAGTGTCTGGCAGGTTTCCATCATCATTTTCAGGGTTCTCTAAATAGTCCCAATGCTCAACATTTCTTTTGTTGTGCATCCTTAGAGCCATTCCCTTGAGATCTTACTCTAAACCTCTGGGAACTATCAGAAATGGCTCTATTACTCTAGAGATGGCATTACTAATTGATGATTGCATTCTTTCTCTCTGAACCTACACTCAGCCTTAAAATCATTCACAGCACAATGCCACAGGACAGCCGCTAGTAACTGATTGGAGTTGGAACTTGTTGTATGTGGGCAAAGTTAATTCGTCTTTTTAGAAAAATTGAATGAAATTAACTTCTCAGGAGAACCATCCTCTCAGAGTAAGACTTTTGAAAACATAAAAAGATGTTAAGCCTGATGGTGGAATTTCAGACCAGAGGAAAGGCAAGTAGTGGGAATTATTTAAGGAAGGGTAAGGAATGAGTTTTGTGACAGGGCTCAAAAGAGAGCAAATAATTTGGTCCCTAAGAGAATTAGATCTTCAAGCTGACCTTTAATATAAGAAATGGAAGGTATACAGGTACAGAACACACTGATAATTTCTAACAAATGTTATTTGCACAGCAAACTTAATCCTTGTCCAACTAATAGAAACAGAGTTCAAAGGATCTTCAGAAAAACCATGACTGGATCCCTAGGTCCCACCAAAAATCTGGGTGGTGATGGCTCATGCACTCATTAGTCTTGACACTCATTAGTGCACCAGGAGGCGTATCACACTTACAAGCATCTCTAGTACCAGAGCATTCTTCCTGCAGCAAGTCTAGGTATGTTTTACTCCTTGATGTGGGTTTTGTCTAAGCAATACAGAATAAGTGGTTCTGAGTCCTCTCTTCTCCATGCAAAATATGTGTTTTGAATAAACCTTTCCTCCCCCTCCTCACATCACATTGGTCAATATTAGTTTGTTCTCTGGCACATCAGCAGAGAGCTGTATGGCAGTTTCCTCTGTGATAAAGAGCCTTGTGATGGTAACAGGTTTCTGGGGCTCAGGAGTCATAGCTGCTGCTCTTAGCATAGTATTGGACACAGAATAGGATCCACTATTAGATACAAGATAGAATTATCTAATTGTGCTCTTTTTCACTACTGTTGACTGAATTTATAATCTACTAGTGGCCTGTTGTACAAAAGTCGTGCATGGGGGAGGGGTGTCCCTCAGCCCAGCCTGCACCCTCTCCAATCTGGGACCCCTCGGGGGATGTCCAACTGCGGGTTTAGGCCCACAGGGATTGGGCCTAAACCAGCAGTCAGACATCCCTTTCGTAATCCGGGATTGCTGGCTCTTAACAGCTCACCTGCCTGCTTGCCTGATTGCCCCTAACCACTCTGCCTGCCAGCCTGCTCACGCCCAACTTCCCTCCCTGCTGGCCTGCTCACTCCCAACTGCCCCCCCTCCAGCCTGATTACCCCCAATGGCCCCCCACCACCTTATCACTCACAATTGCCCTCCCCTCTTGGCCCCTAACCACTTCTACCTCAGCCACGCTGCCATAGCTTTGTCCAGAAGAATGTCCAGAAGGCCTCCTGGAAGGTCTCCCAGTATAATTAGCATATTACCCTTTTATTAGTGTAGATAGAGGCCTGGTGCATGGGTGGGGACAGGCTGGTTTGCCCTGAAAGGTGTCTTGGATCAGGATGGGGGTTCCCTTGGGGGGCGGGGCAGCCTGGGCAAGGGGCCTGTGATGGTTTGCAGGCCAGCCATGCCCACATTGGGGTTGGGGTCCCTGCTGATGTTCCTGGCCAACTTGGGTGAGGGGTGATGGCTGTTTTCAGGCTGGCTACACCCCCTTTAGGTGGGGGTCCCTGTTAGGGGCTCTGGCCAGCCTGGATGAGGGGCTGAGGGCAATTTGCAGGACCCTCCCTTGGCAGCTGGCCTGGGCAACCCAAGCCTCCCGCCTGCTCAGGCCAGCTCCGTGGCTGCCACCCACAGGCCCCTTCTTCAACAGCCAGCTTAGGCATGTGGGAAGCTTGGCTTCCTTTGTCGCTGGGGATGACCTAAGCCTCCCACCGGCTCTGGCTGGCTCTGTGACCACCACCATCTTTGTTCCGCTAATTTACATATTCCCTCCTGATTGGCTGTGGTATGTGGAGGTACAGTCAATTTACATATTTGTCTATTATTCATGCAGATTATTTAAGTAAAACTTTCTTCCTTGTTATTCTCATTAGTAAATGAGAGTGTTTAGAAAACTGACTTCCCAGTTCCTTCCACTCCCTCTGTTTAGACATCACTGCCACGCACAGCTCCAACATCACAGCAATTGTGGCTTGGAAAGGAGGGAGAGAAGAGTCACTGTCAGTCTTCCTTCTCTCTAAATAACAGATTTTATAAGGCATATAATATGGCCATACCTGAGAGGTTGTGTGTACATGGCTAAGAATATCCTTCTGGAATTAGAGGATTACATGTCATATGACACTGAACAAATTAGTTATCTCTCCAAGCCACAGATTCCCTATTTGTAAAATAAGAATAGAAATGATGTAGGAGAAACCAAGATGGCGGCATAGGTTAACGCCGGAGATCGCTGCCTCAAACAACCACTTCAGAGATATAACTAAAGGACAGAACGGACATCACCCAGAACCACGGGAAGGCTGGCTGAGTGGAAATTCTACAACTAGGAGGAAAGAGAATACCATACCCAGACTCAGAGGAGGCGCAGTGCTGAAGTGAAATACTCAGGTGCGGAGTGTGCGCGCGGAGCGGGCTGGCGGCAGAGGGCGCGGTTGTTGTTTTCAATCGGGAGGGAGTTTCAGACTCTGAGCTCCAGATCCGGGCGAGTCTCTGGGGACCGAGACTCAAACGGGAGAAACGGGACTGTCTGGCTTCGGTCGGAACTTGAAGGCAGCTTTCTCTCCGAGGTTTGCAGCCATTGCTGGGGCTCTGAGAGACAGAGCCCCAGGGGAAGGAACTGAGAGTCGCCATAACTGCTCGTTCCGCCCGCCCTGTAGATCCCCGGGGACCCGCCCCGCCCAAGCCCTGCACAGAACCATTTGCCGGATAGCCTCAGGCAAACGCTAGATTAGCACCGCCCTAGAGATCCAGCACAGAAGCCCTCCCACTACAGACACAGCAGACTCTCATAGCCAGTTAGCCTGGAGGTCAAATCACCCCGGTATTGCCGACATCAATCAAGGCTTAAAGGCAACAAGACTGCGGACAAAGACCACTAGGGGGTGCACCAAGAAAGCATAAAAAATGCGGAGACAAAGAAACAGGACAAAACTGTCAATGGAGGATATTGAGTTCAGAACCACACTTTTAAGGTCTCTTAAGAACTGTCTAGAAGCTGCCGATAAACTTAGTAAGGCCCTCGAAAAGACTGGTGAGACCGCCGATAAATGTAGTGAGATCCTCAAGAAATCTAATGAGACCCTCGATGTTGTGATAAAGAACCAATTTCTAAAGAACTAGAAATTAAGCATACACTGACTGAAATAAACAATATTATACAGACACCCAACAGCAGACCAGAGGAGCGCAAGAATCAAGTCAAAGATTCGAAATGCGAAGAAGCAAAAAACACCCAACTGGAAAAGCAAAATGAAAAAAGAATCCGAAAATATGAAGATAGTGTAAGGAGCCTCTGGGACAGCTTCAAGCGCACCAACATCAGAATTATAGGGGTGCCAGAGGATGAGAGAGAACAAGATATTGAAAACCTATTTAAAGAAATAATGACAGAAAACTTCCCCCACCTGGTGAAAGAAATAGACCTACAGGTCCAGGAAGCGCAGAGAACCCCAAACAAAAGGAATCCAAAGAGGACCACACCAAGACACATCATAATTAAAATGCCAAGAGCAAAAGACAAAGAGAGAATCTTAAAAGCAGCAAGAGAAAGAAACCCAGTTACCTACAAGGGAATACCCATACGACTGTCAGCTGATTTCTCAACAGAAACTTGGCAGGCCAGAAGGGAATGGCAAGAAATATTCAAAGTGATGAATACCAAGAACCTACAACCAAGATTACTTTATCCAGCAAAGCTATCATTCAGAACGGAAGGTCAGATAAAGAGCTTCACAGATAAGGAAAAGCTAAAGGAGTTCATCACCACCAAACCAGTATTATATGAAATGCTGAAAGGTATCCTTTAAGAAGAGGAAGAAGAAAAAAAAAGGTAAAGATACAAATTATGAACAACAAATATGCACCTATCAACAAGTGAATCTAAGAATCAAGTGAATAAATAATCTGGTGATCATAATAGAATCAGGGACATAGAAAGGGAATGGACTGACTATTCTTGGGGGGGAAAGGGGTGTGGGAGATGCGGGAAGAGACTGGACAAAAATCGTGCACCTATGGAAGAGGACAGTGGGTGGGGAGTGAGGGCGGAGGGTGGGGCGGGAGCTGGGAGGAGGGGAGTTATGGGGGGAAAAAAAGAGGAACAAATGTAATAATCTGAACAATAAAGATTTAATTAAAAAAAAAAAAGAAATGATGTATACTTCATAGAGTTGTTAGGATTAAATGCGATGATGCATGAAAGGTACCTAGGGACAGTGTTTGGTACATGGAAAACATTAAGCGCCAACAGGTGATAGTAGTAGCAGCAGCAGCAGCAATGCTGGGTGCCCTCAACTCCCCTTTTCCTTGCCAATAGCAACAAGAAGAGGGTCTGTGAGGATTATGCCAACACCTTTGCTATTTTGAATCCTGCCTTCTATGGAATAGATTTAGCCAGTGAGCCAGAGATATTGATGGAATAATCTTGATTGTTTAATTTTATCAGTTTGACACATGACATCAGTCTTTGAGAAATAGCTCTATATTTTGTGTTATAATAACATTTTAGGAAAACGTTCTTTTTACTGTATTCTTCTCAGAAAATGAAATTCCAAGACAGCTGGAAGTGGGTAAATTGGTCTTCCTCTCTTTTCTCCACAGCCTGGGAAGAAAAAATAGTATCTTATGCAGCAAAAGAATATGAAATATTATAGCTTGGGTGATGGAAAGTCATGTATATAAAAAATAGCTAATGGTAACTCTGTTCTGCCTCTTGTAGATACAAACCTACTCCCTATGGTGGCCAGGTCTCTCTTCCTGGGCATTGAACATCATTGCTATATCTATGCAACATTTTGTTCCTAAAATTTGTATATGAATCTTACCTAAAGTGCAGAAGAAAGTGCATCTATATATACATTTTTGAAATCACAAGCATTGCTTTTTGTTTGTGTAAATGCTGCAGTAAGACTCTTGGAACAGATTGGCTGAGGCCTGTCTGCCATCCCAACCCCTCCTCTCTCTGTCAACATCCAGACATCCGATGGCCTCCCCTTTCTGGTCCAGAGAGCTGAGTGCAACAGCAGAGGCAGAGGAGTGGATGCCTTGGGGTTATTTAGAAAACTGCTTGGACCGTAAGAAGTGCCGGCTCCAAGGCAGCAATGCCAGCCCATTAGGAGTGGTAGACGCCCAAAGAAACATCCCAGGACCAATATCGGGGTCTGTTAGTACAAGGCATCTGGGATTAACCAGAAATAGACATGGCAGCTCAGGAGGGGGGAAGCCAGGACAATTAGAGAAGCTACAAATACATTTGGCATTTAAAGGGAATGTTACCTTTGTAGTTTTTTGTGTTTCTCAAGAAGCCTGGTTTTTGGCTGCCAATTTTGGACCCTAAGAGGGGGAAACAAAAATAAATAAATAAATTAATTAATTAATTAATTAATTAAAATTTAAGACATTATTCTTAATTTTAAATAGATTTTATTGATTTTTTACAGAGAGGAAGGGAGAGGGACAGAGAGTTAGAAACATCGATGAGAAACATCGATCAGCTGCCTCTTGCATGCCCCGCTACTGGGGATGTGCCCACAACCAAGGTAGATGCCTTTGACCGGAGTCAAACCTGGGATCCTTGAGTCTGCAGGCCAATGCTCTATCCACTGAGCCAAACCGGTTAGGGCAAGGCATTATTTAAATTTAGAGGCATATGCTACCTTGAATTTTGGAAATAAAAATTAAACTATTCATATATTGTGCAGGGAGACAGTGAACACTCTTTTTTCAAATGAATTTGAGTCCAGACACCCCAAACCTTCTATGAACTCCCAATGAATTTATCCCTCCCTTTACGTGGCCTCAGATACACACTCAGTTAGATGCTAGATATTGACTCATGCCTCTAATTATGTTAAACATATTTTTTTAAAAACTAATATTTGTTCCAAAATAAATTTTTCACAGACTAGGCA